CGTTAAAAATTGTGAAAGAATATATATTTGATCTCGCATAAATATAATACCGATCAATGATCTATAATTTTAGCAGAATTCTAATTTTCTATAATTTAATTGAACACTTTTAAATATACAATTTAAACTACAGGGACTAGATAAAGCAATAGAAACACCTCGTATATTCAACAAATTTTCTATCAATATTCTATAAGATGACCTTATAGCTGTACTTTTCTGAGAATAGAAACGTAAAAATCTTGAATAATTTTTAATGTAGATATTTTACCATTCCTCATAGGGGAACTCTTCAAGTGTTCTTAAAATGACGCTTTTAAGCAATGTTTCCACTATTTTATATACCAGTATGTTTCAACCCTTGTAGATTTATATGCAACTAATTACTTAACAATTATTGTGTAATAAATATTTGTATAATAAATTTTCTGCAGTAAATCCAATCGTAAGACACGCAAAGGGGATACAAACACAAACATCATTAAAATATTCGATATTCAACCGTACATCGGATGTAATCATAGTTTTAAACTACAATCGATTTTGTGTTGTGTCAATTGTTTACCATAGACGTGTTACACAGATGTACACAAGTACATGTCAGACTGACGGAATCACTATTTCATTTATTTTCAGTCGGGACACACCTGTTCCCTATAATTTACCCAATTCTCATAGGGGGACTGAAATTTTCTGCAAAACATTGGTAGAGTCGTTGCTTGGGTACGATTCGATACATGAAGTTCGATAATGGTAACAAGAGGGATAACGATTTAGGTTTGTGCTTGTATACCAGGATAAGAAAAGACAGCAGTAGCAACAGTAAAGCCGAAATTCGATGTTTTGCGAATGAACGGCCGTCGAGTTGCGTGGATCTTTGCAAGACACTTTAATTGGACAAATCCGCCTATCCTCATTAAATCCGACCCGCCTTCGGTACGATCTCCTCGACAAGATCTTATACGTGTATCGTATAGATGACAAGAACAACCCTGTTCGCTTTCGTGCGGCATTGACGATGGGAACGGAGCCGAAAGTCTGATGTATCTGACCGGGTTTGCTGATGTTGTGTCACAGACTGAGACAAGGATTCGGTTCTGGCTTAATGATCGTTCTTAACCAGTTAGCTGCTGCAACCTCTTTGAGGGGTGTATACTTTAGTTGAATTTAGCTTGAAAAATCTTTCATTTTGCGCGTAATAAAATGCAACAATGAAGTATGTACTCGTCAAACGCACGACGTGTGCACCTAGGGTATATTTTAATAGCAAATTAAATCAAAACAAAGAAGAATTAGATGTTTATTTGAAGAAATAATGAATACAAATTTTGACGTGTACACTCGTCAAAGGCAGTTAACTGGTTAAAATTGATTATTTCAAAAATGAATATTTCCTTAAGCAATTACAGTGAGCATTATAATTGTAACATTCAAGACGTCTTCATAATTGCGCCATCGTTATCCCCACCATATTCCCACCAGGTTTCTTCTAATACACCACTGTTTTCAACAACCGACCGCGGTTGAAGGGCGCAACATGATTCGAGTATTGTCGAATTCGACGACTTCAACGTCTCTGTCCTTTCTATTTAAAGTCGTTTTATATATCTGAAACTTCAATCGTTGATTACACAAGCAATTATGATCGTAATTCTATCGTGTGTGGTATTATTTTAATTATAAAAACATAAGAAACATGATGGTAAAACTTTCATTCATGAACAATCAATAATAAAGGAGTTTGATTTTTTAATTATAGGTCTCAAGCTCATTCACAGCCTTTAATGTTGCCAAACGCTTCGATTTTCAGTTTTTCTTTTTCCTTCACTCGCGTTGGCCTTTTGTACGTTCGCCATGCTAAAATTTTCGTTTCTTGGGTGGATGCGATTCCACCTTTTCAATATTCACTGTAGCTGTTTTTAGATGAGTATACTCGCCGTAACACAAAACCTTGTCATTTTTTCATGAAAAGTATACTCGTCAGAAACAGCTAACTGGTTAACCTGTTAACTGTAGAATTTAGTTTCAAAAATCTCTAATAATGCTCGATTGCAATGAAATACAATCAAATACAATGAAATCAAATAATGGTGTGTATACTCATCAAACATTGGTCAAATGCACCTGTGATATGTTCTATAGAAAAAATAAAGCAAAACGAAGAAAAATTACGGGTTTATCTGAAAAATTAAATAATCAATCGTTGAAAGAATTAGTATCATGCTGATTTTAAGATGATGTGTATACTCATCGAAAACAGCTAACTGGTTAACACGTTATTTTTCAGATGTCTGTTCCACTTTATATTTGAATTGAACAAGCTTGAGTACACTAGTTCACAGAAGTATTTCAAATAAATTTCTAATCCAGATTGACATTTTAGACTTGTGTTATTCAGTTTCTATGACATGTACATATACATTATTCTCGCATGTACCGTAAGCATGATACGTATGGAATTTCAAAATGTTAGTTAGTATCTGATGAGTAGAACATTTTAATTATGAACATATCCATTTTAACACTAAACGTACCAAAACTGGTCAAATGACTACTTTTAAAATTTAATTAAAAATTCTGCATTTTCGTTCGTCCATTTAACTTCATCTCGATTCTTATATTGTCCGATTAATCATTTTCCCAGTTTTGTCCTTGTCTTTGTTTCTGTTTTCACGAAGAAAAAGTATCATTTAATTTATGTAACATTATTTTATAACCAGTTATTTGACCGGTTACGATATAAATATATAAAGTGCTGGTACATTTAATTAATTTAATTATTAATCATAATATTTTTAAACTTAAAATGGGTATCATTCTTTACGCCTTGCAAATGGCATTGATAAACCTAATCCATAACCTGCTGTAATTATTATCAATATGATATAAAATATTATTGACTCGGTTAACTTTGTAGATTACTAAACAATAGAAAAACAATTGGATATTGTGATATTCTTTTTTATTGTGAATTACAGTCTCATTGTGGTATTTATATGATTTGATAGTATAATACATTTTTCTTGCACCTGTAGAAACATAAAATTAAATTCTACTGAACTGGTACATTTATTGGAGAATAACCCATTGTCATTTCCGTTTGAATGGCGAGGGAAGTAGACGTCATAACCATGAATACGGACATTCTAACAATATTATTTCATATCCTGTTATTGTGCACGCATACAATACTATTAACACAAACAAGAAAAGACTTCAAAAGCTAGCATTTATAAAGATAAAATAAATAAAATGTATTTAACACTAGTTTTACAGAACATCAGCTATACTGAATTTTACAAACATTATTTGGTTAATATTTAAATAGATATTGATTAATGCAATTACATGGATATGTATCGAAATTGTCTATTTTTAAATCTATAGTTTTCAAAATCTGAATAAATGAACATTAACTTTTCTAGAAGTAACAGAATAAATTATATAATAAATATTATTAAACCTAGTGTTAATAAAAACAGAAAATAAAATGCAAAGTTCTATTATAATGATTACTCTTACAACCTCTTGCCCTACAATATCGTAACAGACTCGTGAAGTTTTTCAATATGATTTAACCTACATAATTGTTACTCAGTACACTCGAAGTCAAAGTAAATATTGTTCTTCTGTAATCAATTATTATACTTAGAAGCAAACGTAAACATAGAAAATGCCTAGAATGTTTCTCTTTTTCCAATAAATGATTAATGACAAAACAGTCGCATCAATCAGAATTGAGAAAGAAATTATAGGGCAAGGGGTTATAGGGCAAAAGGTTAACACCTTTTTCCGTCTAATAGATTCTATTAAAATGTGGTTCACTTTATACGTAGTAAGAATAATTAATTTTTAAATGAAGAGAAAGAATTGTGACTTCCACATGTGACTGATGGGGCAATCTAATAATAAGCGTCAATTGTATTAAATACAAATTTTAAATGTAAACACTGATAACTTACCATCAATACGGCAGGTACGTTCTTCAGCTCCTTAATGATAAGACTCATAGACTATTGTGCTGGTTGAGTTAGGGTTGACTCGGCAACAACGCGATGGTCTTATCTTACAGCGAGGTTTCGCCTCACTGGGTTGTGCATTTCCAGACTTGGGACAGTATCATGTATTTCCACCGTTATGTACGTATGTATATGGTGGATCTATCGTGTCCATTTAGGTAACAAATATGCTTATGAGTTCTATATTCAACGCTCGAACACTTTCAATTGCGTGTAGAAATGCGAGCGAAAGTATAATAACAAGCGTGGGTCACGTATGGAAATTGGTTTGAATTATTTTCAACTATTACCTTTCCGCTTCTTAGATTCAAAATCTCGTCATAAATTTTAAACGCAATGAGAATTATTCTTTTCTTATGTAAGCAGATATAAAAGAATGTTGATTTGTGAAAATATGAAAAAAGATTACGCGGGAAAATGAAAAAAATTTAGAAAACAAAATATTGTGAATTTTCTACACAAAATGAAAATTGTGTTAAACTAATATTTTTTATTTGCAGTATTATTTATTACAAACACACAAAAAGGTATAACTATTACATTTAACTTAATTTACTTTAGACTCAATTAAGAAAAAGAACTTATACATAATACAAAAAACTTCATCAAATTAATTTATAAATGTACAGTGCGATCATTTAAAAAGAACAGATTAATTTATGTGAACTCTACAGACTTGGTATGCATTGTGAGATACATTATCATAACTGTCTTTAAGAAATTCATAATCTTAAATTTTCTCTACATGAATTTAAATTTCGAAAACATAATGAAAAGAAACGAAATACTTTCAACTTAGCTAAGTCGAAGAACAATTTATAATAAAATTATTTTCAATTTTCATTTTTCAACAGATCTCCATAATAAAAATAAGAATTAATAAAATAAGTAATTCAACTAAAAATTACCGTGGAAATTTGAATCGTGCAATAACTATAACATCCATATGGAGGAAAGTAAGAAACAGTATCGTGTATCGTGACGTATAGTTTTTATTCGACGTTATTCTCATATGTACATTCATCAAGGTCCATAATAATTATATTAATCGTTATGCAATAATTACAATAAAAGTGCAACCCGCGTGTGTGGTTACAGGTCAACGATATTAAGGAATAACAGGTTGATTAGCTTCTCCTCTGTTCCTCTTGGCGTGTTGCGTTACATGCTCACAAATGCCTTCCCGGCCAATGGCTTCCCGGTTCTTTCTAATTTACGTAACTTTAGGGGCTGAGCTAGTCTGCGTGATATGGATGAGGTTGCGGCGATTCACCCTCGAACAGAGCCATTTTCAAGCGTTTGCACTTGGCCCGTCGATTCTTGAACCAGAATTGCACATTCTTTGGTTCCAGCCGCGGAAACTTCTGCCGGTACGGCATTCGGTTCAGCTCCTCCGTGTATTTTAGAATTAGCTGTAAATTAAGCAGACGATCATCTCGTAAGTTAAGTAAATTTTATGTAAGCTAACGGTGATATGAAAGGAATGGTACATGATTAACACTAAAACTATAATTATGATGATTTATTTTCAATCTTTTATCAAAATTAGAACAATAAGTTACTTCAGATTCGAAGCATCTCTTGTCTTCTATCTGTGCGAAAATATGGATTTAATTAAAAATCTTTCGCGAAAACGTCTTTATAATTTAAATACTTGCAAAATAAACATTCCGAAGTCGGTCCATTTGACTCATCCGGTAGTTTTAGTACTAACTCCTTATCTTGTAATATCGAATCAGACTCGTGATGAAAATTTTAGACTGAATTCGATAAATCGTAGTGCTATTTACTTTCTTGAATATGAATTAAATCGTTAATCTTTAAAGTAAACTTAGGCACAGAATAAGTATGAAATTCTTTTCTTTCTCTAATAAATTATTAATTATAAAGTAGTTTTATCAAGTATGGTTGTGAGCAACATCATGGAATTAATGAAATTTTTGAATGCAATAGTTCTATAATCAATAACTTGTATTACTTTTCATTTATCTTGTTAGTAATGAAAATAAGTATGATATTTTACGTAAGCTGTTAATAATGTTCTTTTTAATTTCCAAGTAACGAACCTCTGCAGATGCAGCATATAGAATTGTTTAAGAAATATTGTTGGCAGATGACAGAATTTATAATAACAAATAGTGTTAATAAAATGTTAGTTTAATGTTATATCAACTTATTGACTATTAATATTTTGTACTTTAGATTATAATTGTGTACCTGATTTACTTATATATTATACTTATCAGATTTCATTAGATCATTAAATTACAATAATTACGTTAAATGCCTAAAAATCAGTATATTGTATTAGTATGTACAATACATAAAATTATAAATGTAATTAATAAAAACTGGTTCATGATGCTATATTTCGTCAAGTAGTTATGCTGTTTGTAAATATTATGTATGCCTTCGATCAAAATTATTTGATACTCTCAACTTTCATGCATTATAAAAGGAGAGGAAATAAAAGAAAACGTTACAACTTGTAATTTACAAGCTTCTAATTCGTGTTTTATGAGTTCTTCGGCTACGTCTGAGTATGTAAAAGGTTGAGCGATTATTTTGCATTCAGATTATTAAACTGAGCTAAATTCACTTTCATATAATTATTAGTCAATTATTTTTAAGCGGAAGTGTAATTTTTATTGTATATTCATTGTCAGTTATAAGCTTTGTGTATTTATTTTGCTATATAATATAATATAGCAAATATAATGAAGTTCCGTTAAGCTCTTGCTATATAAAACCTTTTATCTTCGTTTATAGAGGAATGTAACATCATATTTTTGGCTGGTAATGTATTATGAATTATATTAAAAATTTAAATAATCTTTTAAATATGTTTACAATACAATTATTATTACTACAATGGTAGAGTACCTATTCAAAAATAAAAAAGGTTTATGTGAACATTTCTTTACGTAATAACTGTAACTTTGATGTTCCTATAAACTTTCATTTTCTTTAAAATTGAATCGAAAGAATGAGAGCTAGATGGACATTTATCTTTGTCTGTAAAAGTAGAATTTTTACCATTTCTGGGACCTCTACAATGTTAGGACATGGACGAAAATATCTCTATTTTTAATTTAATTTTAAGCGATAATTATAACAGTTTCATAATAGCGTGGAATGATGTATGAAAACTTTAAATTAAGCCATTTTTGTATCATGTCAGATTTTTACAACAGAATTATTTTTATCTAACTTTGACATTAAAAAATGATTAATTTGTTAAATATTAATATTTTTAAAGTGGTAGGTATACTAATAGTATCTGTTAAATCGAAATGTTACAATCAAAATGTAATAATAAAACATAATTCTTCTATAACATTTATAATTGTAATAATGGTAATAATACAAATTTTAGTAACAATATAAAATGTTATAATAAATTACAAGTAAGTTCCATTTCGAAATGATATATTTCCTTCAACTTAATACAGAAATGAAATTTTTTGAAAATTTCTATGAATGTAAAATATATTGAATCAGTGTTCGTAAAGAAATCGGTAAAAGCTTGCCCTTATCGCCACAATCTGTGATGGTAAGAAAGAATGGTCACGAATAGTCCCTAGTTTGAAGGACTTTCTTAATATATTGATTAATTTAAAATACTTTTCCTTCTTATTATTTACAGTAAATTTTTTATAAAATTTGCAAAAGTAGAAGTTAATATGATTAAATGTTTTGTTTCCGCAGAAGTATACCTTAATTTAGCAAAAATTCTCTTCTACAGATTTAGATATGAAAATATAAAAATCGATAAAATGAAAAGAAACATCTTTATTTTATGAAATCAAAAAAAATAAAATATAAAAAATCAACTGAAATTGTCAAGAACAAGATTTCAAAATTACTATGAAGCTATATCCACGTTGTTTGGTTTCGTGAAATATCATAATGATCATACTCATTTCACGATACTATTTGTTTCATTATTTTAACACGTTTATTGCTGATGACGACTATTTACGCGATACTAAACTTATGTTCATGTGACGTTTATGTACGCTATATATTCTTGTGTTTTCTATCCGATATTACGAAATTGACAGTGGCTCCTTTCGTCTGTTTAATAGGTTAGCTTTCATTTCTTTAATATATTACTTAAAGTTGCAAGCGAATAATGAATTGTACCGATTACGAGCGTATTAAATAATATCCGAAAAATAAATATAACTACTATCGATGCCTTATCGATACGAAAAGGAGATTTAATGTCTAAGGTATGACGAGGATATAGAACTTAATTATTAGAAATAATACATTTCGATTAAAGCGTATAAGTTTTAATGTCTAAACGAAAACACTGTTCCTCTGTTTACCTACAGTTTTTTCTAAATATTTCAATTTACGTTTTTATGATGGAATTATTTTTTCAAGTATTAATTTGTACTAATACATGAATCGTAAGATTTGTAATAAATACTAAATCGAGATCAATTTTTATTTAAATAATCGATAGGATGCTATAGGTACCATTTTATAGTTACAGAATAGTTAACTCAAATGAAATGCCTTGACTGTACGTTTCTTTATTGAAAATAAGTTATTTAATTAAAGAATGAATATGATATGGATAATCAAACTATACGCGTATTATTTGTTATTAATTACATACAGAATATTTCTGTAGCATTTCTATTTTAATTGTCCGTTTCAGAAATGGATTGAAAACATTAATTACCAGAGAAACCGTTGCTTGTAATTCACTTCGGAATATTATTTTGCAGAAAAGGTAAAACACAATTGCGGTTAATAAAATTGAAATTTTTATTTACACATCACGGTATCGATGACAACTATGAAACAGTGCAGTGGGAAAGTGGACAAACACACAGGTGTAATTGTCACGTGAAAAATTGTGCGTTCTGCGATTGAAAGCAATGTATTACTGAATAAGAATTTTTCACTTATTAAACTTATTAATCTGATTTGAAGTTCCTTTACACATCAAGAATATTAATGCAATACTATAAATCAAAGTGATGAATAAGAAGTGCAAGTATTCTCTGATATTAATTATAACATCAGTATCTACATAAACCTAACATGTAAAAACGATCTCAGAATGAAATGGGATACGAATAACGAGCATAGTTATTGAAATAAATTGATAGATTTTTTTATTTTGAACCAACAAATTTTTTCCAAATTAACAATTAGAACTCTATGATCTACAGTAAAAATAATTCATGTTAACACTAAAACAACCGGACGAGTCAAATTGACCCACTTCAGAATGATTATTTTGCAATTATTTAAATTATGAAGGGGTTTCTACAAAATATTTTAATTAAATTCGTATACTCGCACAGATGCAAGACTAGAATATCCTTCGAATTTCAAGAAACGTATTCTTTCAATTTTGATACAAAATTGAAAATGAATCACTCTAATTGTTCGGTAGTTTCAGCCTTAAATTCAAAGGGACCAACCCCTTCCGAAGATTCTATCTTTTCCAAATTAAATAGACATAAAAATTGATGAACCGTGGAACTAATACAAACTTAATGAACCGGTATAAAAATAGCTCGCGTTACGAGCGCAAGAAGTAATATTCGCTTCTCCACGTAAAAGATACAATTTTTCCAATGTTCCTGGATACATCGCGAACGCATTCGAGATACCGTGTGCTGATATTAATAGAGAGGATCGGGAAATGAATGTACCGATAATTAAGCTGCGCCGTTCAACTTACCGCGTGACTGGGATGAGTATTGTGAGTAAACCAAGCCTCGAGCCTCGGCACTTCCGTCACGGGATCGATGAATGTCCGGTTCCTCTTCCTCCTCTCGTCCAGCATGCTGGTTGAACAACCAGCCGGGCCGCGTGGCGGCAAATAAGGTGACATATACATAATTCCATGACCGAACATCGGGCTCGGAACCAGAGAGAATCCCGGCAACGGACCGGTCGGCCTTGCCTCCTCGTCTTCGGAACCGGAGGACACTCTGGCATCCTCCTGCTTCACGGAGGACGGCGTTGAGGGTGGAGGTTGTTGATCCTCGGGTCTGGTTGTCAGAGACAGTGGTCCGACTGGTGGACTTCCGGGTGGACAGGGAGAAGGTGAGGCGGACTAAAACATGGAAATATGACGGAAATGTTACTGGAAATTACGGATAATTATTACTTATTTGTCTTCTCGTGGTATTTCAAATGAAAGCAACGAACTCTTTGAGATTATGCAGAATGTTAACACGTTCCTGCCTCGGTGGTCACCGATGATCGGAGTTTCAAAACAACTTGAAAACAATTATAATTTATAAGACAACTGACGTGGAATGAAAATGTTCAATAACGTGAATGACTAGATAACAGTGTAACGTAAGAATTGTGCTAGCAAATAATTAATAATTGTTCCGTTTTATCTTTGCTACAAAGGAATAAGTAATATATATGAAACGTTAAACAAGTGTTAAAGAAGTAAGTCGCCAAACTTTGATATTGTGTTGCATTGCGAGTTAACCCTTTGCACTCCAAAGGTGCCTCTCAGTCACCACTCGATTGGTGCATCAAAATTGTAAAATTTCGTATTTAACATTAAGTCTCGAGTAATCTGTCGATACGTGAAATATGGAAATAAAATACCATTGTTCCTCTTATTTTGTGAATAGATTCCTCGTTAAATTAGTTTTAAAAAATGTCATCTGTATCTCATAAAAATGAATTGAATATTTCTGGTGACAAATTTTTGGAGTGCAAAGGATTAACCCTGACGTCTCAAACGGTACACATAGGTACCGTGAACATTCTAAATAATCGGAGAGCTAGAAAACGCCTAGATAAAGGAAAATTGTACCACACAGGGATCTTTGCTTATGGCTGACAGCTGAAGTGACAGCTTCTTTATATAATTCAT